GAGGCGGAGAGCAACGTGTTACAGGTGAGGCAGGCCTGGCCGGGGGCATCTGGCTCTGGTGGGCCTCCTGGCCCTCAGGTGGTGGTGTGAGAGGCCAGCCGTAGCCCCCAGCCTCTCTGTGCACCACCCTCCGGGACCTTGTGGCGGGGCCTCCAGAGTTCAGTGAGCGCTAAGGGCCTTCGAGTCTCGCTTTCTTTTTGAGAAGGATCTGTTTTTGAGGCATTCTCGATAGTTCTGGGAGAAACTGTTGTAAATGCACCCAGAATGAACGGCTGTGATTGGTCACACTGGCACCCCATGGTGTTTTATTAGGGAACCGGGATCCCAGATGCACCCCAAACTTGTCCTGCCTTTCCTCTGCATCTTGGGGCAACACGTCCACTTCAGTGGGCCTCATTCGTCTGCTTTGCGTTGTTGTGTGCATGCATGTGTGTCCGTGACCTGCATGTGTAGAGCACTGGAGAGTTTCTGATGTGGCATTTTTAGAAGTACTACTGCTTCTGCCCACTCAGCACTGCTGTGAAATCCATACGAGCAAAGAGAGTGACTTGGTAAAGATCTGCACACTCTGAAGGGCCAGGCGTGGTCTCTGTTGCGTATTCTTTTTTTATCTATAGAACAGCTTTATTGAGATAGAACACGTATACTATGGAATTCCCTCTTTAAAGTGTGTGTTCACGTAGTTACGCTGCTGCCACCGCCATCAGAAAAGAACATTTTAGTCCCCAGAAAAGAAACTGCCATCGGCAGTCATCTCTCATGCCCTCCCCGGCCCCTGCGAGCCCCCTTCCCATCGTGGATGAGCCTGTTCTGGACGTGTCCCCATGTGGACTCACACCCCGTGTGTCCTTCTGTGTCTGGTTCCCTCCCTGAGCCTCGTGGGCTTGGGGTCCATCCCCGGGGCCGCACCGAGTGACGTGCGTGGAGGGACATTCAGGTTTCCAGCTTTTAGCTAGTATGAATCGTGCTACCGTGGACGTTGTGTACAGTCTGGTGTGTGCAGATGCGTGGCATTTCTCTTGGGTAGATCTTTAGGAGTGGGGTGTCTGGGCCGCACGGCGATTCCACATGTAACACTGTGAGGGACACGTTTCCGCGGCAGCCACGCCATGTGTCGTTCCCCCCCAGCCGTGTGTAAACTGACTGTCCACCAACCGCCCGCCCCCCACCCCCCCCCCCGGGCACCTGCTGTTACCTGGCTTGTGATGCCATCCTAGTGAGTGCGAGGTGGTATCTCATGGGTATCTGGTTTTTATCTTCGTTTCCTTCCTGATTCTTTCGTGCTCCTCTGACAATGTAAAATTCATCTTAGGTGGAGGACAGGACACAAAACTGGCCAAGGGCTAGATGTGCCCCCTGGGCCATCGTTGGCTGACCCCTACCTAGTAGTTCACTCAGGCTAGATCGAGGCTTCCCAGAGTTTGTCCACACCAGTGTCCACCCAGCCAGGGCCCCGCTTACCCAGAGGGCCGCCTTGTGTTCCAGATCCAGTGTAAGCTGTTTGTCTTTGACAAGGCCTCACAGTCGTGGGTGGAGAGAGGCCGGGGGCTGCTCAGGCTCAACGACATGGCATCGACTGATGACGGGACGCTCCAGTCCCGACTAGGTGAGCTGCAGTGCGGGGTCTCTGGAGAGGGCCCGGGATGGCACAGAGTTCCCAAGGCCCAGGAGGGCAGGATCCCCACGCAGGTCCCCACTGGAGAGCCCCAGCACTGGCGGCCTGTAGGCGCAGGCCCTATCCCAAGGCTCTCGCTGCCAGCTCTTCTGTGACTCTCCTCTTTGTGAGTGTGACAGTAGATGAAACAACTCAGAGCTCTTGAACTTGTTTTCTAATAATCAAAGTGCTGGTGGTTTTATGGTGGAAAGGGAAAATAAGAAATCAAACAGCCCTATACAGCCTGTGGTCCTTGTCATAGACCTTCCCCCAGCCTGTCCCAGCTACTCCACGTGTGCTTTGGAGGTGGGCCCATTGGGCACAGAGGGCTTGGGGAGTGGACACAGGGAGATCTGGTCAGTTGGAGCCCAGGACCCCACCCCGCAGCCTCCCTGAGCTGGCCCATGCTGCTCCGTCTGGGGCCATCTGGGGGCCCAGGTTGGGATGGGGAGAAGTGGGCTGGTGGGAAGACAAGGTGTCACCATGTCCACAAGGTCAGGGCGCTTGCGGGGAGGATGAGCTCTGATAAACCAGGCAGGCTGACGGCAGCTTTGGGTAGATGTGATGTGTACTTCCAGAGAAGGAAGAAGGTCTGTACCCTCTTTTTCTCCACCATATGTTGCTCTCGGTCTCTTTGTCTCCCTCTTGGGAGCTCTAAGCAGCCATTGGGCCTCAACCTTTTTTCTAAGAAAACTGCAGAGGAAGGGCTGGGCTCGGCCTGTGAGTGGGGCCAATCAGGGGGCATCAACTTCTAGGCAGTGTGTCATAAAGAAAGTGCACACAGCCCCCAAATGTCACTCTCTGGCCCTGCCTCCAACCTAATCATCCCCCTTCCAAGGGAGCCACCATCCTGGCATCTCCCCGTGATGGACGTGGCCATGGGGGAGCTGGGTGGTACAGGGCTGGCCCCCAGTGTGGGGCATGCTGTGGCTCAGCAGACTGGTGGGCAGCTTATGTGGACCTTGAGAGAATTGTGGGATTTCACCCTTGTGGTGTTTTCATTCCAGAATGTGTCCGTTCTCATAGCTGGCTGTGGGGTGGGGGTCAGGGGCCAGGGCTGAGTGGCCTTGTCCGTTGCAGTGATGCGGACCCAGGGCAGCTTGCGACTGATCCTCAACACCAAGCTCTGGGCCCAGATGCAGATCGACAAGGCCAGTGAAAAGAGCATACGCATCACAGCCATGGACACTGAGGACCAGGGCGTGAAGGTTTTCCTGATCTCAGTGAGTAGCCCTGGGGCCGGGACAGGCTACTACCGACCTCTTGGGGAAAGGAAGTGCCTGAACAGAGCCCTGGACAAGCGCTGTGCCCTCCTGAGCTCCCACAGGAGGGAGGTTCCCGGGCACACGCAGTCAGGCCACTGTGGGCCTGCACTAAGTCCTGCCCCTCTGGGGGGTGCTCTGTGGTGCAGCGGTCGGCACTCTGAGGGCGTGGGCCAGGGAGCGAAGAGGGAGGCCTCTAGGCCGGCCAGTGTCCAGACGGATCGGTGGCAGAGAGACAGGAGTGGGCCTGCATCACCGAGTGCCATCCCAGCTGCAAGCTCTGCAAGCCGCTGGGAAGGACGGTCCCTGGGGCCCCAGGAGCTTCAGTCTGCTGCCCGTGAGCTTGTTGAGGAGAGAGGGTCGGGCTCTGGCCCAGACACAGCCCGGGGCTTATGGCTTCCACCACAGGAGGGCAGCAGCCACCCTGACCAAGAGATCTTCCAACCCACCACTTCCCTCTGCCTGCCCCAGGCCAGTTCCAAGGACACGGGCCAGCTGTATGCAGCCCTGCACCACCGCATCCTGGCCCTGCGCAGCCGTGTGGAGCAGGAGCAGGAAGCCAAGATGCCTGCCCCTGAACCTGGGGCAGCCCCGTCCAACGAGGACGACAGTGACGAGGACGTCCTGGCTCCATCGGGGGCCACTGGAGGCGGTGAGCCAGTGGTCCCGGCCCTGGAGGGGATGGGGAGCCTGACCCAAGGGGCTGGGGCTCCACCCAGGGTGGGGACCTGACGGTGAGGCCGCTGCTTCCCAACAGGTGCTGGCGAGGAAGGGGAGGGGCAGACGGCCGGAAGCACATAGCGCCGGGAGCCGGCTGCCCACGAGCCTGCTGCTTTGTCCGTCTGTCTGCCCGCCCGCCCGCCCCGCCCCGCCAGCAGGGTGGAGGCGCGGGGCTCGGGAACCACACTCCCCGCTGGGTTGGCCACAGTTCGGATCCGCATGTCCCGTTCAGAAGCAGACTCGGGAACTGCCTGAATGTGGTTTGGGACACGAGACCTCATCATATTGATGAGCAAAACGAAAAAGAACATTTCTTCCCTCCCCTCCTTTGAATTGAAATGGCACATTAAGACTTGTCACGGCTTCTCACTGGGACTGGGACACCTTGTTTCTTCACCCCTCTCTCCTCATGTCCCCGGCCTCTCTGCCGCCGCCCATCCAGGCCACCGGGTCTGTCCACACAAGTATAAACACTGGGCCTGCTGGATGCTCTGTTAACTACCGTATTTCCAGTTTCCCACACTCTGATTTGGGGCTTATATTTTTAGATTTTTTTCCCCCAAGGCTTTGTGTTTGGTTTCTTAGGTTCAGACTCTCCTGTGCATTGAGTGGGTGTAGCTCTGTCCTGGGCCACATCTTCCTCCTCCCTCCCGGGCTCCTGGCCTCTGTGCTGGGGTGGGAGTCAGCCCCCCCCCCACTTTGTTCCCCACCCAGGGTTGCTCCAGGCCCAGTCGTGGGGTATTGAGGTGTTGGGCCCCAGACCTGGAAAGAGCTTATCTAAAAAAGGGTCACTGGACCTAGGTGGGTCTCCACCCACCCTCCTGCCTTTTCCCATCATGTCAGTCACCCATCATCTGGCACCGAGAGGCAAACCTTCCTGCTGCTGGCCATTCCTTGCCCAGCCCTGGACGACGTCACTGCCCCCAAGACCATCCAGGACCAGGGGCCCCTGTGAGAGGCAGAGGGGGACCTCAGCAGGACCTTCGAGGAGGGGGCAGGGGGCTGGTTCCAGGCAACCGGCCGTCTCCCACACTCACAGCACACACAGGAGTGGGTGCCGTGCCCACCACCACCCTGGAGCATGGCCAGGAGCCAGCCGGGCTTCACCCACCTGGGGCGGCCTGTGAAGAAGGGCCCTGTGCACAGGGCTCCGAGGGATTTCCGAGCAAAGTGCCCAGCCCCGCCCTCGGGGTGAGCGGAAGGCCTGGTCTCCACAGCTGTGCCACCCACACCTCGGGTCGGTTGTGTGCAGCGTGAGCCTGAGCCGTGGGAAGACACCAAAGGCCCTCCCAGCAGATCCAGTCACACTTCTCTGCTTTAAGCCTTAGCCAACTAGTGACAAGTAAAACCAGATAATGCCCATGTGTTTTGGAACATTTATGTAAGATTGTCATATGAAATGTATTTGGGAACTACATTAAAACTTTTAACTAAAACCCTGGCCTCCTGCATGCCCCAGGGGCCTCAGGAAGCCAGACAGACTGGCCAGGAACAGCCTCCACGTCCCAGAGCCACCTGGCCTGTCTGCGGGCCCCTGGCCCCTGCCCCACACTCCACGTCCGGGCAGGTGACCAAACTTGGCTGCCTTCCAAGACTGGCCGCCTCCCTGCTGAGCTTTGCTTCACAGAAGAGCTGTTTGCTTCCCTGCCAACACTGGCTCCTGGGGGGAGGGGGGAGGGGAGTCTGCACAGAATGGACAGGGAGGGCCTTGCTCCCGGGGGTCCTGAACCAGTGACCCATCCTTGGAAACTTTGTCCCACTTGTACCTGGTGGCCAAGCTGGGTCCTCGGAGACCTGATCCAGCCAGTCCTAGGGCCTCCACCTCAGGGGCTGCCTGGCTGGAAGCCCAGGTGAGAGAGGACCTGGTTCAGGGGGGGCCAGGGTGGGGGTCCTACACTACGGGGGCGGGGCTGGCTGAGCAAGTGTGCACAGCTCACAGCTTCCAGGCGCTGGTCATCATGGCCACAAACTCCTCGTCTGTGTCCACGGAGGCGCTCACGCCGCTGTAGTAGTCCTGGAATTCAGCCAGCGTGACCTGGGGGCGGACAGGCTCTAAGTAGGGACCAGAGACCCGGGCAGAGGGGGTGGGGGGGTGTCTGTGGGCACCCACCTGCCCGTCCTTCTCAGAGGAGTCAAAGTTGTCCAGGAAGCGGCGGAGCACCTCCTCCTCGGTCCACTCCCCACTTCGCACCCTGGGGTGGGCGCAGCCACTGTACACCCCCCGGAGGTCATCCACGGTCACCACACCATCCCCGCTGCGGTCCAACTTGGCAAACGCAGCTGCAATGACCTCCTCCCGGGCCTGGGACATGGGGGGCTGGAAAGGAGCAGGTCATGACTGGGGGGGTCTAGTGCGGAGCACCAGGGCTTCCAGGCATCCAGGGTCAGCACTGACATCAACAAGCCCGCGGAGAGCTCGTCAGCACCCCCCAGACAGCAGGGCAAAGGGCCTCACCCGCAGGGCCCTCAGGAACTCCTCCAGGTCCAGCATCCCGCTGCCATCACGGTCCCAGCGCCTGCACACGCCCTCCGCTTCGGCAGTGTCCAGCACCAGCCCCAGCTCAGCCAGGCCCCGCTGGAGTTCCCCCGAGTCCAGGGATCGGCTCCTGTCCCGGTCCAGGCGGCGGAAAAACCTGAGGGGCGTGGGGTGCAGTTAAAAAGTGGCCCCTGGGGCTGGGGCTCAAGAAGATTCAAGGGGACAGCTCACCTGGCCAGGCCCTGGATGCCCAAGGCCCCTCGGGACAGGCACTGTGCCCGGAGCTTCTCCACAGTGGCGTCCGCAGCATCCATGCCGGGTCAGACTGGCTGGGCAACTGGCTGGAGGAGAGTTCGAGGAAGGACTCCGACTCGGCTGACCAGGCTGTGGTCCGGTGCCGCAAGCCTGCCCTGGCCAGCTACCTGCTCACCTGGCCTTCAACTGTACTGGAGTCCAGACGGCCACTCCTCTGGCTCCTGCCCACTCTGCCCAGCGTTGGCAGCGCGTCCTGCCTAGCAGGCCTGTTGCTAAGGGACGGTGGCTCAGGAGACTGGGAGGGGCCCCGGCCGTAACCCACACTGTGCCAGTGCCTCACAGCCCCGGGGGGCAGGGGGGCAGGGCCGAGAGGGACAGGCCCGTGTTTTGCTGGCGCCACTGCCCACCCTCTGCCCTGCTCACCCCCAGCCTCACAGTGCCCAGGTCTGGGATAGAGCCAGACCCAGATGGGGACTGGCGGTGGTCCCCTCCCTGGCCACAAGAAGGAGGGGTGGGCGACAGCCCTAGATGGCCAGAGTGCCCCTGACGGAGAGAGGCAAGGCCATGCCGAGGAGGCTTAAGACCCAATTCCTCCCTGGGCTCCACGGGTCCCCTTGCCTGGTGTTCAGACCAGTGTGGCTGAGCCAGGACGCAGCAGTCTTACAGACTGTTTCAGCATTAAGTCCGACAAAGCAGTTCCTGGTAGTTATTTAGGGGCCAGTGTGGGATTTCTGTCAATGTGGGTCTTTCGGTGGTTGGTTTCTCAGTTCTCAAACCACACTTGGTGGTTTTGCTCCTAACAAGCTGGGGGAGCCAGGGGACTGCAGTACCAAGTGAAGAAGTGGCCCTGGCCCCCGACGCCATCCAAGAAGCACCGAGGCCATCATCACAGAAGGCCTCTGATCAAGACATCGACTAAGCGTTACACCGAACGACAGGATTGAAAATGACGCTGGATTTCCCAGGGCCTAAAACGTGGGCCCCGTTTGGGGACCCATCTGCTGCAGAGACCCAGAGGTCACCAGAGGCTTTCCAAAGCCTGGACTTAGACACTGTCAGTGTTAGGAGAAACTGCAGTGACATTCTGGCGGCTCACTGCAGTCCATAACTTTTCGAGTAGGCAGAGAACTACTCCATTGTGTTTTTCATGAGGATTACAAAAATCAGTTTTTTCCATAGAAAAGTGTGAAATATAACCATAATTATTGTAACTGTTTTGGCATCTCCTCATCTTGAAGAGAATCAGAATGTTAACAGTAACCCCTCCAGAAACTGGAAGTGGCCCAGGCCCTCCCGACCCCGAGGCCGGTTTACTTCACCCCCCTGAGCCTCACTTTCCATAGCTATAAAATGGGGCCAGCCTGGGCGGCAAAGACTAGACACAAGCGCCTGTGACTGTAACTGTGTCTCCCCGCCCAGCAGGGCCCCACCAGGCCACCTCTCCAGCTCCCACACAGGAAGAAAGGAGGAAGGACCAAGGCCAGGAAATCATCCGATTTATTCTTAAGCTCAGACAGGCCTCAACCTGCCTTCTCTTCGTACAAGCAGCCCCCCTATTCATCCAGAGAAAATGGGGCCATTGTTACTGCACTGAGGGGTCACTGTTAGATGCCAGGCGGGCAGGCTGCACCATCCTGAGGGCTGGGCACAGACCCCGACCTTTCCAGGCCAAAATGGGCCCTGCCCCTCAGTGGTTCCTGGTGTGACAGTTCCCTGAGTAAGGAGGTGGGAAAAGGGCTAGCGTGGGACCAGGCTGGGCACTTCGGCTGGGCAGAGAAAGGCACAGGGTTCCCTGGTTTGATTTAAAAAATAATAGCACCCTGAATGTCTCTGGCCAAGAAGGGCAGCATAGAAATAAGGAGTTTAAAAATAAATTCTCTAGGGAATATAAAAAGGAGCAGGCTGCTTGCTACAAAAGCTGAACTGGCTGGGGCCTCATCAGATGTGCTAGGGGCTCCCAGCTCCCTTCAGGGCCCACAAACCCCATCCTGTTCCTACCGAGGCCCCAGGGTGCACCTGGCGCTGGCGATGAAGAAAAGCCCTGCCTCAGGTAGCTTACACTCTGATGACAGGACGTCCCGTGAAGAAAACAGAATGGGTAAGAGCAGGGGACGGGGTTACTTCCAATAAGGTAGGCAGGGAAGCCCCCCCCCCCCCCGAGGAGGTGACATCTGAGCAAAGATCTGAGTGACAAGGAACGGGGCATGTGACATCCGGGGGAAGAGCAGTCTAAGCAGAGGGAACAGCCAGTGGAAAGGCTGAGGGATGCCTGAGTTTTCCCTGGGGCAGCACAGCCTGGCCGCCAGCATGTCAGCATGTCTCACACGCACGCTCTCCCTTCTGGGTTAAACGTTGAGGGAAGGACAGAGTTAGGGGAAAGAATCTAGGATTCAAAATCCATCTTCATACAGCCACTGCAAAACAGCACAAGGCTTGAGGTTCCCAATTCTGGTCTGGGATGAAGAATAAGAAAAAGCTTTAGCCTAGGATGAAGGATGCTTCAGAAGGAACGAAGATCAGGGCAGGGGAAAAAGGGGGAGAAAAACTTGATACATCTGCCCCCACGAGCAAGAGAGATCTCAAACTCAGATGCTTCAGGGGCCAGACATCCAGCCCTAAGAGAGATGAGGGAGCCAACTGGACCTCACACTTTGGCTAAAGAGGGTATCCTGAGCTCAGATCCAAGCAGGCATGGCCAAGACTGAAGCCAGAAATCCGGATTTTTGTAAAATGTTGCCAATCTTTCAACAAGTTGACTGATGTAAAGTTTTGTTTAAAAAACAAAAAACAAAACAAGGGGCGCCTGGCTGGCTCAGTTGGTAGAACATGCGACTCTTGATCTCAGGATTTTAAGTTCAAGCCCTACATTGGGTGTAGAGATTACTTAAAAATAAAATCTTAAAAAAAAAAAAAAAAACCTGTCCAGGCTAACCATATGCCTTTGGCCCTTGGGCGGCCTGTTTGAAACCTATGACTTTTTAGCAGGTTTGATGCTTGGAAAGGATTATGGTTCTGCCACGGGGTCCCTTCTGGGACACTGGTGACCCCCGAGGACACCCACAGCAGTGGAACTCTGTCTCCATTGTGAAATCTGTGCTCCAGGGCTCACACAGTGGTCCCAAACACTGCAGGCTGGAGGTGGTCCCTGTCTTCCTCTTCCCCAGTACTGTTGGCAAGGCGTGGACTGGGCCCACCAGGGAGTGGGTGGCTGGGGTCTCTGGTTGGCAGGGGCCCCAGGCGTTCAGCCTCCGCCAGGGCAGCCAGCAGCCCGGCCAGGGGTGGCCGGCGACGGCAGATGTCCTGCAGCAGCTCCGCCCGGGGCTGCAGCTGCCCAATGAGCTCATCCCTCTGACGCACAGCAGCCTGCAGGCTGTGGACAGTGGCCTCGGAGGTCAGCAGCTGCTCCTGGAGAGCGGCAAGCTCACTGGCAGAAGGCAAGACAGGGCAGTTATGGTACTGCGGGGACCAGCGATTCTCCTCCTCCCTGCCCCTGACTTCCCGGGGCTCCCCGTCACCATCAGGATAAATGCCAAGCTCCTCACCACTGCTTCAAGACCCCCTTGTTATGGACTGAATGTGTCCCCTCAAAATCTTATGTTGAACCCCTAGCCCCCATCCCCAGTGTGATGTATTTGGAGATGGCGCCTTTGGGATGAGCTCATGAGGGTGGGGCCCTCATAGAATTAGTGCCCTTGTGAGAAGAGACACCAGAGAGTTTGCTCTCTGGCCATGTGAGCACACAGCAAGAAGATGACAATCTGCAAGCCAGGAAGAGAATCTGTCACCAGGAACTGAATCTGTCGGTTGGACTTTCCAGCCTCCAGAACTGTGAGGAGAAAATTTCAGTTGTTTAAGGCCCCCAGCCTGTGGTATTCTGTAATGGCAGCCAAAGAAGACGAAAACTCTCTAATCGCTCCCCTGCAATTCCCTTGTCCCCTACATCTTTTCCTATTTGTTGTTCAGCTTAGATGGCTCCCCTTCCAGGAAGCCTTCCATCTAGGCCCACTCAACCCTATGTGCCCTTCCATCACGACCCCAACTACCCCACGTTGTAACTGCCTAGTGATGTGCCTGCCTAAGGACTGTGCTAGTAGATCTCACTTACGTGCTCTAGCGCCCAGCACAGTGCCTGACACACAGTAGGTACTCAGTAAAGATGAATGAATGAATCCAACCAGCTCCTTTCCCACCTGGGCCCCTGACCTCCCTCCTCCCTGGGCGCTTGTCTCATCCCTTTCAATCCTCAGCGCCTCTTCAAAACTAGAGGGGTTCTTCAAAAACGGCTGGTATGATCCCATCCTCCCCTGCTCCAGAACCTGCCATGGATCTCAATGCCTAGGAGGTCGGTGACCCCTGCACCACTCGGAAAGAGCCGATTTTGCATTGTGGAAAAATGGGTTCTGTTTTAAGTTAGAAATCCGCACTTGTGTGACACCTCTTAACTTAGCATGCTGGTGACTAATTCGAGGTTTTGGGTGTTCTTTTTTTTCAATCCCACCAGTAGTCCAGCCTACACGTGACTGCACGCGGTTCCCGCGCCTCTCCTCCCCTTCCCATCTCCGCTCCGCCTCCGCCCACCTCCCAGAAGTCCACCCGGCCGGCCCCGGGCCTCACCAGTCCTTGGCGCGGCCCAGCTCGTCCAGGGCAGCGCGCAGCTGCTGGTCGTGGCGAGCCAGGCGCTCGGCCTGGGCGCGCACGGTGCGCTCCGCCACGTCCAGCCGCGCCTCCAACTCCGCGGCGCGCCGGTGCACAGCCGCCAGGTGTGCGTTCGCCTCGCGGATCTGCAGCGGCTGCGGCGCCGACATGGCCCCCGCGCGGTCCCCGGCGGCCCGGAACCGGCCCCGGCCCCGCCCCTTGGCCCCGCCCCCGATGGGCCCCGCCCCCAGAGGCCCCCCTCAGGACCTCGGCGCGATTGGCCGCGGCAGGATGGGTCGCGCCCTCCTCAAACCCAAACACCCTCACTGGTCCCGGCACCTCGAGACTCCGCCCCTGAGCCCGGCTTAACTCTAAGATTGGCCAAGGTTCTGGCAAACCACGCCCCCAGGTGGGCCTGAGTCCTCGATGGCGCTCCCTGTTCAGGCTCCCGCAACGGGACTGGTCACTCCTTCGAGACAGGCCCCGCCCCACTGAGAAACCAACACCAGCAGCATTGGTCCGGGTCCTGCGGCCCAGCAAGCCTGGCCACGCCCCAGGCTTCGCCTCTCTCAGATCCACCCGGAAGGCCACGGACACGCCCCTTAAGCAAACGCACAGCTCCGGTTCGGCCAAGTCCTTTTCGGGGCGTGTCTTCGGCTCTGGCCACGCCCCCAAGTCTAGCGCGGACCTCCTCCGTCCCAGGGCTTGGACAAGCCAGCCACAAGGTGAGCACGAGTGGCGTCCCGTAAAATCCTAGCCCTGGGATCGGTACCTTTGCCCGCCCTCGAACCTGGCCACGCCCCAAAATAGTCGCACGCGGTTCAGACCCCCAGACTCACGCAGATGCTGGTGCTGGGAGCGGTCACATTTGCGCTGTGCCCCGCCCCAGGGCTACATCTTGCTCCTATCAAGTGGAGCCCCGCCCCGCGCCCGAATCTGCGCTTGGAGATAGGCCTAGTACCGGTCATAGTCCCGCCCCTGGATTAGGCCCCACCTCCGGGCGTCAACCCTTCCTAACCTAGGACCTTCTGAGTTGGAACTAGTGAGATCTGCCTTCACTGGTTCTGGCTCACCTCAGTTTCTCGTTCTTGAAGGCGGCTGGGGGTGCACGCGCGCTTCCTTTACGCCAGTCCCGACTCTGCGCGTGCGCGCGACCGTGTCTGTGTCCGCGATGTTCAATAAAGTTGCACGCTTGTTGTCGGCCCCTCCGCACGAGAGGTTGCGCGCGCCGCCCAGGAAGTCTCGCGAGAACGAGCGGCGGCTGCCCTTGGACACCGGTGCGGGGCCAGGGGTGTGCAATCATGGCGCGGACGCTTCTTCAGCAATACCTGGACATACCCGATGGCACCGAGTGCCACCGCAAGACCTACGCCAGCACCACAGTCAGTGGTGCCGCTGGTGAGCACCTCGGCCGGGTCCCGAGGGCAGAGGGCGCAGGGAGGTCACAGAGTCGCTGGGGGCTGTCCCAGGGCGTCCTGGGGCGCTGGGGATCTCGCAGGTGCCGTAAGGTTGTCGCCGGGATGTCTGGGGCGGCCCTGGGTCGCTGGGGAGCTCTTGTACGGGATAGACTTTGTGGGGGTGTCGGACTAATTCAGAGGGCGCAGGAAGGCGACAGGGTCACTGGGAGCTGTCCGAGGGGGTCGCAGGAGCGCTGGGTGACACGGGGTGACACGTCGTCGTGGGGATGTCTGAGGCGGCCTTGAGGACCTCTTGTGTGAAGGGGGTCCGACAGGGTTGGAGGGCACCGGGAAATGGTACACGTGACAGGGGGGCCACTGGGGTCGTCAGAAGCGGTTGCTGGGGGCTGGGATTTGGGGGTTCCTGTTGAAGCTAACCCCAGGCTCTGGGGACGTCTTTGAGTGGCAGAGGGCCTTTACTGGGTGTCGAAGGAGCTGGGGATTCATGAGACTTAACAACAGGGTAAGTTGAGGTTATTTGGGGGGATCATGGCTGTGTCTCGGGGGTACAGAAGTTTGAGAACGTTCCAGTGTGAGGTGAAGTCTTTTTAGGGTTCAGGAGAGCGGGATGGTTAGGGGTGTCTGAAGCTTTTATTGGGACCACCAGAGGGGCCGTAGGGGTGCGGAGGAGGTCACAAGTGAGGTGGGTCAGGGGCTACTATAAGGGTAGCCTTGGGAGGGCATAAGGTGACTATGGCCCTAGCACTCTTCTGCATGGGACACCTCAGCATCTCGCCCCTTCCAGTCTCTCTTGAGAAGTATGAATGATGGTTTGGGCCACCTCCATATCTCCAGCTCCTGAAACGAGGCCTGGCAGAAGTTGAGTCTCCACTGGGAGGCATTTGGATCAAGGTAAACCTAATCATCACTCCATTCTCTGAGATCAACGATTATCGTGCCCATTTCTCAGAGGTGGAAACTGAAGGTCACAGAGGTGTGTTAACTATCCCAGGGTCTTTTCAAGCCAGTATGCAAATCCACGTCTCCTGATCTGCTCCTGAGGGTGGCTGGGGCAGGGACTGTGCGTGCAGGATCCTTGTGGAGGGGCCTCAGGAGAGAGGGTGGATGGGGAGTCCCTGCGGATGAATGATGTGGAGTCTGCTTGAGTGGCGAGTTGTTGGGACAGTAGAGGTGCGTGGCAGGGTCTCTAGGGGGCCTTTGGAGAGGGTTGCGCAGTGCGGGGTTGGATCACTGTAGGGGGAACTTATTCGGGCACATTCTTATAGGGAAATGCTGACATTGGGGAATGCCTGGCAGGACTTTGTGGAGGCTCATGGTTGTGTCTAAAGGGGAATTAAAGTAGGAGGAGGGGGTCGCCTGAGGGGCACGTGGGGCCTTCAGGGAGATAAGGGGAAGTGGATGGTTTAAGGGATTTTGAATCTGAGAAAGACATTAATGTTGGTGTTTCTGAGTGGGAGTGCACATGTGATCACAAATGCACAGTTCACGGGGATGGACTGACATCTCAGGAGGCTGTTGGGGGAGACTGAGCACATCTCAGGAGTGGGGTGCTGCTGAGAGTGAGGAGCCTCCAGGGTGGGGGCGGGGGCTTGCTGAAAGGTCTTTGAGAGAGTGTGGGTGGGAACTTTGACAGAGGTGCCGTGTCAGGCAGTCACTGAGAGACTCGGATTTGTGGTGGTCTCCAGCTCCTGTGAGCCTTCGAGGGTATCGCTGTGTGTGTGCGTGTGTGTGTGTGTGTGTGTGTGTTGCTTCCTTCGCCCGCCTACATTCTCTCTCACTGGCCAGCTCCACTCAACGTGCAGGACTTGGCTCCTGGATCCTCCCTTACCTTCCCTGCCTCCCCTCAGGCCTCACTGAGAGAACACTCTTGTTTCCTGTCTGGCTTTCCTGAGATGGTGAGCCCCCGGAGGGCAGGGAGCCTGGACCCCCTAGCATCAGCACCCTGTGGGCACACAGTAACCCTGAATGAATGAATGAATGAATGGATGGATGGATGAAGGCACCTAGTAACTCTTGTGGATGGGTGGCTGGATGAGTGAATTAGGGCATACAGCAACTGAATGAATGTGTGAGTGAATGAAGTAGCTGGATGGATGGAAGAATGAATGGAAGAATGAATGAATGAATGGATGGATGGATGGATGGATGGATGGATGGATGGATGGATGAATGAATGAATGAATGAATGTGGGCACACAGTGCCTGTGAAAAGGAATGACAACCTGCAGTCACTGTGAAGGAAGGAATGAATGAATGAAGGGTCGAGTGTGCACTGTATCTGGAGGTCACTGCTGGAGGCTGAGAGAGAGCCAGGAGCAGGTGGGAGTTGGGAAGGGGGCCTTTTGCAGGGTGATGGGGGGCCATAGAAAGGTCCGAGTCAGTAGAGATCCTCATGTGCTGGGGGTCGCAGGATGTGGGGAGGGTGGGCTGTGGCAGGTCACCATATTGGATGATTGCTAGGAGACAGTTCATCCACTCCCAGTTCTAGGATTTCTGAGGGGATTAGGATGGCGGGGGCACGGTCTGTGTGCAGCGTGGAATGTGAGCTGGCAGACAGATTGGGACGGGCTGGCCCTGGGAGGTCCCTGTGGTGACTGGGCCATGCGGGGGTTCTGTAGGGAGAGGAGGGGTGTGTTGTCTGCCCTGAGCAGGGTCAGCTGGAGGATCCGGGGAGCTCCGTGTTGGGCGGTTCCTGGTGATTCGGAGCCAGCCAGGTGGGCCCTGGCCTGCCCCCCCACTGAGGAGGGTCTGGTCGGGGCACCTGCCCAAGGCCTTGCCTTGGCCTCACCCCAGACCCACACAGCAGCCTGGGCCAGTGTTTGCTCAAGATGCCCCAGGATAGAGCCTTGGGCCTCACCACCCACCTGGCGCTCGGGTCCAGGCCCAGCCCCTGCCGGGCCCCTCATGCGCAAGAACCAGTGTCGGGCAGGGAGGCCAGGGCGAGCAGAGATGGAAAAGCTGACCAGAGTGGCGAGGCCGGGTGGGCGGGAGCGGCTGCTGAGCCAGCCAGGTGTGAGGGATGGGCCCAGGCCCAAGCTGCGAGCAGGGAGGGGGCCCAAGGGTGACGAGCAGCAGGCCTTGGCAGCCCCGGGAGCCAAGTCTCCGCCAAGGAGCCCTGGGCCCCATGGGAGAATGCAGCCTTGGCTGGGAGTGGGGAGCAGGGCCTGGGTGCCAAGCCCTGTGGGGCTCAGCTGTGCTGTCTGTGCTGGCACGTGAGGCCAGAGAGCAGCCCAGCCACTTGGGCCCTGGGCCTGTTCTCGTGTCCACTGCAAGCTGGACCGGTGCACTGTGGAGAGCGAAGGCGCCCCGGGCAGGCCTTGGGCAGGCCTTGCGGAGGGAGGCCTGGGGCCCGGAGGTAGGGGTGAGAGCCCAGGGTTTGGACCAGCAGACTGGGTTGGAATCCCACTGTGGCTGCTCAGCAGCTGTGGGGCCCTGGGTAAACCTCAGAACAGTCCCTTCCTGGGTGAAGGGGTGGTGCTAGGAACCTCCTTCTGGGTGCCATGGGGACAGAGGGAGAGAGGGTTTCTCTGATAGTGGAGGGGCCTCCCCCCCACCAGGGCCCCTCCTGGTCTCAGCGCCCAGGTCCTGGTCCCACACACCTCACCCTCTCTGGTCCCACAGGCCTGATCTTCTCTGCCTACAGTGTCACGCTCCAGCCCCCGGACTCCTTCCTAGAGGGAGTGGCAAGGACAGGGCGATACACATTTACTGCAGGTGAGCGAGCCTTGGCTTTTCCTTAGGGGCCCTCCTGGCACTGGCCCCTGGGCCCTGACTCAGCGCTCACCCCCGCACCCCAACAGCTGCCATCGGCGCCATATTTGGCCTCACGTCCTGCCTCAGCGCTCAGGTCCGAGAGAAGCCCGATGACCCCCTGAACTACTTCATCGGAGGCTGTGCCGGAGGCCTGACCCTGGGAGCACGCAGTGAGTGAGCCCCCCATTCTGACCTCTGCTGACCACAACCCCCCATTCTATCCCAGACCAGGGGCCAGGAAGGGGCCAGGTGTGTGGGATGCTCACCCCAGCAGAGGAGGGGGCAGTCCCCGTGAAACCTTCCAGTGCTTTTGAACCTCTGCCACCAGCCAGTTCAGTAATACTAAGAGCTGCTTTGCTTAAGCACCTACTGCATGTCTATCTCACCAAGCCCGTATACCCCCCTGTGGCTTGCTGTGGCATTCAGCCTGGCCCACAAGGCTCTGCACAACCTGCCACATCCCCCTACCCTCCCCTCCTCCCTCTCGCCCCCTTGGTCACTCTGTATAAGCCACACAAGCCGCCTTGCTATTCCTCCAAGCCAGGCCCAGTCCTGCCCCAGGGCCTTTGCATGTGCTGTGCCCACTTCCTGGAGTGCTGTTCACCCAGATGTCAGCACAGCTCCCTCTTTCACTGTCCAAACCCACCTGTGGATGATCTGGGACCCCCCGCTGCCCTCATTCCTTATCACTCTCCTTTTCTGCACCTTGTCAGAGAACACAAGGCCACTGTCTGTCTCTGCCCCATGAGCATGGAGAAGGTGCATGGTCCTTGCATTGCCGTCCCTCTCCCAGCACCCAGAGCCCTGATTGGCCAAACACACAGCCCTGCAGGGGAGCTACACTCACCATCCCCACCTGGAGATGCACAGACTAGCTCAGAGAGGGGGCTTGGGTGGTGCGAGGTCACCTGGGAACCAGCAGAGCATGCCTCCCTAGTGGGAGGCAGGGCGGGGGCCCCACACCAGCCTGGCACAGTGCAGCCACCTGGAACCAGGAGCAGACTGCTCTTTCCACCTCCCGTAGCCTCGGAGCTG